ACATACTTAACAATCAGTGGTATGGGGTTATAGAACACCGATCTTTATGACTTTATCAGTAGATCTTGAATGATTTATAAGTAAATTGCTTATGAAATTGCAAGCCTTTAGCTGCCCTAAAACCTTATAACTAAGGAATCCAATCCCGCAAATAGGGGATCCCGCACCATTTTTGCGGGATCAGAAATAAGATATTACACATGCGCGGGATTTGCGGGACTACAAACAAAATTTTTTATAGACGAATGCGAGTTGTGAACGGGCTGGCCAAAATGTTCGTCGTGCATGGAAGTATTAAATATACATCATTTTAAAACCCAGTAGATAATTTCAGGAGTGAAAAGCCCTTACGAAAGGTCTTCCTGAGAGTCAAGAGGCCTTCCACTCTACATTCCTTTTTTCTTTCTTTTTTTGTATGAAGTGGCATAAATTGAAGGGCTGCTTCTTTCGCTATCCATAGAAGGCCTTATAGAAGTATTTCCAAAGAAAATACGTTTTTTAACACTTGTATTGTAATGTCAACCTTATGGGGAAACCATAATATGTTCGCCTATAACTTTTTAAAAAGTCTGGCCGGCGATGTTGGGATTTCGCATGCGCATTAATAGTAGTTGCAGAATACCATAGCATATATAACCCCATTCCTTTTTAAGTCGACTTAGGCGGTTATTATTTATGACCACAGATATATCTATGTTGTAGTGCTCCAATTTGATGATACCGACAAAGTGTAAAACATTATCAAGATACACCAGATTACTAAATTTGAGTCAGATATCTCAAACAGACAGATGACAAGCAAACAGACAGATGACAAGCATAGAGACGGGTATAGCTAAATTGACTCAGTTCGAGGTGCTGATAGTTTTAGGCTAGGTTAGGTTATCTCTGCTGTCCGCATGCCTCAGGAAAAGGGCACACTTAGGCCTACATGGGCCGGTTGTGATGCCGTATTAGAGACTTCATATGTCCCTCCTCTTACCTTTGAAATTGAACCACTTCGTAGCTCTGATGAAGCGCCAAAGTCATAGATACTGGGTGAATCCAGTTCGGCCAGACATTCAAAAGAATAATGGAGAAACGAGCATCTACGAGGACAGTGGCACAGGTAGTGCACCACGCTTTCGATTTCCTCCTCATCACGACAGCTACGACAGTAGTCGTTCCAGTGGCGTGGGTTCCCATCAGGAAATGCCCAGTTCTTCTTCTAGTACTTACAAACATCGGACCAAAGTTATAGTACCATTTCAAGTACAAATACTTAACCTGCAAAGAAAACTGGTACGTAGATAGCCGCCACTGGCTCTGAACTGATAGATTTGATCAAAGCGCACAAAAATCAACTTCAAAATAAACTAACACACCAATTCCTCCACTTCCTCTTGTAAGGTGCAAATGTCAAAAACTCAGAAACGGATGCACTCACCGAGTGCCAACAACGATAACATTGTATTTTAATTATACGATATGAGCAGAGGAAAATGAGCTCTTCATTATTTGAATGAACAAATGAATGGGGAGCTAAGTGTATACCTACATATTTACATATACATATGTATACATGAATGAATACGATTTGTAAATACTATGTGTAGCTAACAAATGAGGGTAAGAACGTTTAGGAGCACAAATGAGGTGACTGATGGACTGAATAAAGTTATGTATATATGTGTGTGTAAGCCATTTGAAGCAATTTTGCTTGTAAGCATAGCGTCAAGCGTTGAAATGTGGCTAAAATGCGAGGGTACGTCCATCAAGTTGGTATCAGCTGCGCTAGTGGCCATTAGATGTGCATTGACGGTGACAGGACATTTGCGTGAATAAATGTGCAGTCCCTTTTATTTCTTTTTTTAATGTTTGCTTTTGGTATATTGGTAGTGTTTAGGTGGATCGTAAATCTAAGTTTTTATCCACTTCAGTTCCATTCACTGATTTCAATTAGTCGCACACTTTTCTTTATTAGTAAAGAAGCAGATGGAGAAAACTGCACTCGCTTTCTCGTGGAACTCCAAATGGTATTTACTTTTCATACCTTTGCGGTCAATCGCCGCTCAAATTAACACAATGGGGAAAAATAACACGTCAACAGATTTGGCTAACCTCTCGCATATATTTCTACTTAAGGAAAAAGTGGCTGCATAAGTGAATGTCCTTTTCTCTGCGCTTATCCACGCATATCAGAGTACGATTACGATTGCATATGTATGTATGTAAATGTGTGCCTATGGCCGGTCACGCAACTGGAAATCTGTGGAAAAAGGACATAATTGCAGGAAATATTTGCTTAGCTCGCTTCGTTAGCGAATGAATGTAAGGCGTGCTGGCATACATAGTTGAAAGTGAGTAGTCCAGTGGAGCATATCGGCACGTACATAAAGGCTGCAACTGAAGTGTGGTGTAACATATTTACATACATACGTGTCGCGTATTTTTTACGTTCATACGTATGCGAGCGAGCGTATGAAGAAATGGACAATAGTTGATAAAACTAAATATGATTCACGGAGTTAGAATGTGGGAATGGCTCGTACAAAGTAGGCACATTTATTAATCTTAGCCACCCTAGCTGCAAGCGCCATTCCTTGAACTTGCAGACACACTTGCAGGTGTGCATTTACATATCATAATATAAACAGATAACTATTCAAAATTGTCAACGCCCTCTGCATAAAATAAAGTGCGAGGCGTTGCTATGCTTTTAAGCGTCTAGAACGAATATGTAGAACGCAAATATCAGCTAGAAATTCTAATAGGCTTATTGCTAAATAATAAAGTAGGTTTAAAGAGCTTTATAAAATGGCGATTTCATACATTTTTCAGTTTATAAACCTTTTTTAAAGCGACTTTATTTTTTTATGAATAAGGCCATTAAACTGTAGAAAAACATTTAAAGGCCGTGCAGGGTTTTTATTTTAGATTTTTTTTTAGTTAATTAGCATTAATTTCAATCAATTTTTTTCTAATATTATATGCACAATTGAATATTTTATTTACCACATGAAATTACATCTGTTTTTCTATTATTAGGAATATGCTCGGAATATTTTCAGAAAATTGTGATATGTTCTGTCGAAAAGTTATTCTGGACAAGCAATGTTTATTCACTTATTGACCTACATTCAGAAAAAGGGCTGCTAAATATATTTCTCTCAACGCATGATTTGGTAAATATTACCAAAAATGTGGCTATAACCAATCATGTGTCGAGAGAAACATATTTAGTTGTCGTAACTACACTTTTTTCTCAGTGTAGCCTCATATCTACATAAATACATAAGAACATACTACATAAGTATTTCATAAAAAATTTGCTTGATTTTAAATGAAACTTAGACTGCTCCTACGTGGTTATAGTAATTTTGATGGAAGGGTAGGTCTACAGGCCCTTTGCACCACGACCAGATTTGATTTATTGTGCCCCTATTTCAACTTTAGTTATTTAATACGCTCAGGAATTGTATTAGCCCCTGCTGTGAAATCAACATAGGTTTGACTTCGCTGAGAATCTAGTCGTTTAAGAGTCTGACTCTACATGAGCTGATGTTGGACAGATGGTAACATGGAATTTTTCATAGATTGCTGCTATTCACTTGTTGATTACAAGCGATGGGCTGGGTCCAACAAAAGTGGTGTCTACCCTTTTTTTAGCCTGGAAGTTCGGTTTGTTATTACCATCATAGCCCTTATAACCAGGCGCTCAAATTAGGGATACTCTAATCTGGGTGGCTAGATGATTGAGTGCTCTGTGTCACTCATGAGGAGTTTTTGATGAGTATATGTAGCTATCCAGAGCTTTTGAGGCAGAATGATAGTTTAGTAACCGCACCTACACCGTACTATTTTTGTAAATCGTCATGCAGACACTAACGGTTCATGCTCCAGTCTTCGCGCGTAGGTAATGTACCTCACACAAAATTATATCCCGTCCACGTCAGTTGGTTGTGTGCCCCGAACGGCATTCACAGGCCGAGCGTGTATATAACGCGAGACCGAATCCCTGTGACTCAAAGTATTCGACAAATAATTTTTCTTGATTCAACAGATAATGTGTCAGAAAGATCATATCGATATTTAACAGCGGATGTCTTACTTGAAGACTGAAATATTTCGGTTAAGTTATTATGTACCGTATTTAAATAGGAGGACCTCAACGCGCCAAACAGCGTAGGAATCGATGCCATCGAAGTAAATGAGGAGCTAATGTCGGGTGTGATTCTGAGTTGTCCATAAAGGGAGAGACAATTCAACGCAACCATGGTTTTGCGAATATATACCGCCAAAAATACGTACCTAAGCGAATTTTTTTTTGATGCAGAGATGCATCTATATGCTCTAAGAACATTTCTGCATCTAAAAGACCCTTTGAAAAAAATGTCGCTTACGCCTTTTTGGCGGTCAGGGCTGCATATGTATGAGGGAAATTTAGGAGTATAACTTAGATGTGATAAATGAAAGCAAACCAAATTACTGTTGAACACACCCAACCTCTTTAAATCCTGCATGGTATACAGATAAACGTTCTGGAATTAAATAAAAAGGAAAATGAATTTTTGGCACCTCTATTATTCAGTGTTAGTTTTTCACAAAAATTTTAAATAAAAGCCTAATCTGATTCAATCACAGAAAGGAGACCATTTCAATTCATATACGTAAATAAATTCAAATAACTAAATAATAAATGAGCAAAAACGACTACGTTAAAGATTTGAGTAGAAAATATGTAATCCTATGCAAAGAGGTTGGATTTCTAAACCGATTTAGGGTCTACGCATTACGTGTGCTACTCATGTGACAAATGCTATGCGAATCTTTTTCAGTGCACATATATATACGTGCATACATATTGATACATTATCATAGGAAAATAGTAGTACTTATATACATATATGTACGTAAGTATGCAAAGCATGCAATCTGTATGTAGGTCCAACTAAAAACAGCCAAAATAAAAAACAGGAATGATACGAAAACTGTTTATGAAAAACACATTAACTCCTTACTTATCAAAACGCAATCAGCTTAAATGGTGTTGCGGTCGCCGGACTTAATACAATTGAATAGCTGAGAAGCTTACGCGCTAGACTGGCTGACCCGCCTGCTGGCTGCATCACTAGCGCCTGGTGTATCGGAATACAGGATTAATGCTGTTGACGTCCGTAGCGCAGCGCAGCGTAACTGAAGCGTTTGTGTTCGCTAAAGAGTAAGCTCATGCGACAGACATTAAGTGAATATAGCCGCGTGCATAATATAAAATATCCTTTTTGATAATTTGACACGCTCACACTATACACATATCACAATACAAGCGAAGGTATGCGAAATGGCGATGGATCGGCTTTACGCGTACAAAGGGCAAACACCGGCAATACACATTGTCACTGACGCCCACTGAAGCGCGCGCACGATTTCAAACATTTAAACATTCGTATTCACTTATATACATATTTACATACGCATTTATGCATATGTATGTATATTTGTGTAGTGTGCTTGTTTGGCGGCTTGTTGACGCTTATTTTACTCTTTAGACGCGCACCGGTAAACACAAGAACTGGAACTCACAAAAGGCCTAATGCTAGCAAGTAACTGGTTGAAAGTGGAGACGCAAACAATAGATGGCAGGCTTGAGCGCTGCCTGAATGTTGGGGGTTGGGCCGCTAAGCACAGTGGATTGTTAAGGCGTGGTTGTTGAAATTTATGTTTGTTGTTGTTGTTATTTTACCTCCTCTTAAATGCACTTATCCCGGTGATTTTGTACTTTCAACAATTTTGCTGTATAATATTTCAAATAGCCTTAGCCTAGGCGCCCAGAGCTTTCGCCAACTTTTGTCGCTACTTGCAGATACTTTTTGCACTCACAGACACTTGAATACACCACTGTTGCTCAGAATACAATTTTAAGTGCATAAAATGAAGTTGAAAGGGACTAAAGAATTTATGCCATTGCCAGTGTACGTTTGCATGCCGCGCGACTAAGCAGCATTTTCAACACGCCAGCCTAATCCTTTCAAAGCAGCATAATTGTGAGCGCGCGTGTGAGCTTAGTTGGATTTTACTAGGCTATGCTCACAACTATACATTTGTTGTTACTGAGACCGCAGAAACAGTACGAAAACAGTAATTTTTTATGACACATTAACGAGGCGCGGCCATGGCGCAGTTTGATTCCGGGACAATTGTGCGCGTCACCTCGGATAATAGGAAATGTGTTTGATTTATGGTTTTACAATTTTTGTTATTATTTCACGCACGCGCTTGAAATCTCATGAATATGCCCGTGAGACGGCGACTGTAACAAGAGACGCGCGCGTTTTGCCGCTTTGTGTGCGCGTTGATACACTGTGCGCGCGCTTGGTTGCCTTCAGGACAGGTGGGTGAAGTTGCAAAACACTTAATAACGAACGCGCGTATCGCCAACATAAATGAAGCAGCTTTTATTATGACTGTTTAAATGACTTTCTTTGCAAGATAAATTCACTCTAAAGGGATTAGAGTTTTCACTTCATTTAATCAGGAATCCACTTTCAATGCTGTCAGCACAAATTTTTCCACTTCCTTTCTTTCCTTTACGTAATTAATCCCTTAATTGCTGTTGTTGTTATGCGAAATTGAAAGCACAGCGCGTGTCCTGCTGATTAACGGCATTGACGCTGACACTGACACTGACTTTTACTGTGATAACAACAATGGGCGCCGCTGACAATGACGACACTCAACGGGCGCGACACAACGCGGCGGACGGAGTAAACAAAACACACACGCGCGTCGATCATACGCCGATTGTTACAAAGACCCTCGCGAAATGTTGTGAGTACGCGCGACGGGAAATTAAAAAATTGTTTTTTGCACTGAGACAGGATTAGCTAAGGAACGAAATGAGCAGAGCGAGGAGGTGTGGCTGAATAAGCAGAGTTGCAGCCAAATAGTTACACTATGTATAGTAAGTAGTAGTATTTTTATTGTTATCAATTCATAGCACTACCGGCAACTTTTTATTTTCCTTTTCTCTCTTCTTCCACCCACTTCTTCTTCTTTCTTCTATGCTGCCTTGTTTTGGTTAACTAGATGCTGTATTGCGCTTTTCTCAAGCGCAACGTCTACCGCTTAACGCGAATGTTAAAGTACGACTGAAACCGAGCTGGCCTGGCCAGTAGTTCGGCAGGATATCAGCTTGCAAAATGTTGGCTTCAACAAATTGTTTACATAGGGAAAGTCACCACAGTGCACTAACTCGCGTTTCATATGCTCTGACGCACAAATCAAGCAGAGAATTTTTACCCTCGATTGAGTAGCAACCTTAATTGAGCGTCCTTCTGTGGGCACATGCGCAATGCACGCCGGTCTCTGTGTAGAGAGTGAGCGTAAGCTGATTATAAAAGACAAATCACAGAGAGTACTGTTTGCACAACATTCCTCTTGGCGTTAGTGGGCATTAATGGGCTCTTAAAGCATGCAACTGAAAGTGTTATCCTGTCAAGCGGCACGCCTGTCTGTGACTGATAATGTTTGTAGATATTAAATGAGCCGCCACAGCTATCAGCAGCAGTCTGCGTCTGTTTGTTTTCTGCGCTGTGCTTCTCGCTGTCATTATTGTTTTGGTCTCGTCTTATTGTTGCATCACAGTGGAGTAGAGTGCCTGATTTCCTTGCTCTGCTACGACAGTGATGGAAATGGTACGGCACGTATAAATTAGCAACGAAAAATTTTACGGTGCTTCCGATGCGTTACAAGGCGTAAGGTCTTCACAGTGACACGCTTAATATCCTCGTCTGTTTCCTGGCCTTTGTGACAAAACTTGGCCTAGTCAGAGCAAATAACTCCTAGCTTTGACAAGTGCTTTACTAACTGTAGTCACTACATAGAAAGAAAGCCTGTAAAAATCCTCACTTCGAATTTAGTGAAGTGAGGAGTTCTGCGGCTCCTCTTGTCGATGTTTCCGGGATGAAGGATATTTAGTATTGCGCTTTCTTCTTCCTCCAAACTTTATAAGTTAACCTAAAGAAGTTCCATGAAAAACTGAAGAACGGTATTGAGCATGCACATTCCTAGAAAAAATATTTTCCACTTCTTAGACCGAGAGGAAAGCGACGTTTATTAAATGAAGGAGGAAGTTCCCCACCAGCTTTGAGGTGACCACGTTTGCTTTCGTTTGGCTTCAGTGTGACGAGTGCCGCCCTCCTGTTGGGGTATATGCACAGCCCATTGAACACGGATGTCCTTTATTGTCCCCGTTGGTTCTATCAGTGGTAAAAAGACCTCGATATTGTGTGTGAAGTTATACCTCGTAAGATAAAGGTACACAAAGTAAATTCGCAGTCTCTCCTGTTCTTCTATAACATTGAGAGTGGAGCTCACCCGCAACAATATCTCCTAAGATAAATCTTGCTGTTAACATTTGCTGGCTGGTGTGGACTCTTCTCGACAGTTACAGGTTGTGTTGTTCTCATGCTTCAGTGATGTAGAAATGTATGAAAAATAGACCCAGATGAATAAGGCTATCATAAGGATGACTGGCACCAAAATGCCGACAAAAGTCTGTCTCAGTCGTTGTGATGTGTTTAATAGCGAATTTTCGTCATCCATTGTCAAATTTTGTTTGGAGGAAATCCGGTTTTGCAGTCATCTTTTGGGTCAGTTTGCGTTCCAGAATTTGCGAAAGCTTATCCATCAATTTTATAGAGATATTACCTAAATAATTTATTTAAGGCGTGTGCTTGCAACAATGCTGTTAGCAGTCAGTGAGAACAGTTGGCAGCACTGTTGACAGGAGAGATTCTTTCGCTACAAATAATCATCTCTAGGGTAACCAATCTGCATTGTCACGTTAGGCAATTTCTCTCTACACTGACGGCTCAAAGAAGAACCGTGGTGTGGGGCAGGTGTTTACTCCGAGGAGCTCCTTACCGGTCTATGGAATGTGACAAGCGTATTCAAAGCGGAAGCCTTAAGAATCCTTGGATTAAGGTTGTAGGAGAAGGCATCGGTGGTATTATGAAGGCAAAAATATACTTTAACAGCCAAGTGGCTCTCAGTGGTCACCAAATCCTAGCTAGTCCAGAAGTGTAAAACGGAATTATGCTCAGTGTCGGTATCAATAAGCGTCTCTCTTGCCTGACTTCACGGCCATAAGAATATTGAAGATAATGAGAAGGCTGACAATTTGGAATAAGGCTGTTGCACTAGGATGCCCCCTCAGAGTCGTTCAAAGAGATATTGGTTTGCCTTTTCTTGACCTGGGACCACTAGACCTTCTTAATAGATCAAGGGCAGAAGTATTTATAATTGTATTAGCCATGCTGAAGGAATTGTACTCCCATGTAATAGAGCCTACCGCAGCTGTCAAGTAGAAGGTAGCGAGGAAATTGTCCAGATTTTCGTTTGTGAATGCCGAGGTCTAGCGGCTATTAGGCATAAAGCCCTAGGAAGGCACATACATACAAAACTAGCAGATATATAGGGATCAACTAGTTTAGTTTCATTAAGAATCTTAATGCTTAAATGCCTTGTAATCGCGTAAGCCTCTTAATAAACAGGTTTTCCATGCAAAATGAAGTAAGAATACCCCTATTAAAATTTTTTTATAACAACTTTAGTGCAGTTTTGATCAGAACAACTGCGCCGGTAATCTGGATCAACATTGCCGTCTGTATATGCTATTAGGCTAAGCCACCGCAGCGAACTGTTGGCGCAGCTGTGAGTATTGCTCCTTTTGTTGTTGCCATAGCGTTCCATAAATGCAACAGTTGCGCATTTCTTGCGATTGTTTGGAGCTTTGGTTGACTTTTCCCCCAAGCCACTATCTGTTTATGTATGTAATGAGGGAGTCAGGTGGTTTGCTTTGGGGCCCCTTTCGTGTTGTTGCCTGTTTGCTTGTTCCTGTATTTACCCAGACAAGTATGTAGTTTGTTTTAGATTAAGCAGTAAGGGGCATGCGGCAGCTGACTTGCCTGCTTGTATGTTGCCTTAAAGGCGTTGTATTTTAGATGGGGTACTAGCTATTTAGGAGTATGGGGACCAATTGGTGTTATGGGGACCAATTGGTGTTAATGTGGTCTGTCAGCCACTTGTTTGGCGGCAAGCTCGTAAATATTCATTCGTTCCATATAAATCACTTTTCCTTTTATTTTTAATGCGCTGTGCAGTCCATTTCTTCAACACAATGCAGACTTTTTAAGGAATTTTTCAGACTTTTTATCAGTAGCAAAATCAGTCGAAGAAAAATAGATCAAACTTTGCGATTTCCTTGAAAATTGGTGACACAAATTTCCTCACTATGCACACTTGTATTCGGCTACTACTGTCAGCAAAGCTGCTTTGCTTAAAATTCTTAAATGTCCATTATCGCCTTTGCGACTTTCATGCTACTTTTCAGTTGGTATTTCAGAAAATTTCTGCCAATGAAAAATTTAAGTAAAAAAATTTCATAGTCAGAGTTGTGGATTCTTTTTAGTAGTTGACTTTTTTGTGATGAATCCTATGTATTTTCATTTGCATGTTGCTTTTATTTTTATTTATATATATATTTATACCGTACCTATTTACATTTATTAAGAATTTGAATTGTATTTATTTTATTTTTTATTTTATGTATGTATTTCCTCTTCAAGTTTCGTCATCGTTCGCTGCAGCGGCGATAAGAAGTATTAAATTCAAATTGGAAAAGCTTAATTAATTTAGCAGCGTGTCAGCAGCAGACTTCTGCTGGTGTGGGAAAAATTAAAAATATAATACAACAGCGAAATAACCAACAGCACTGACTCTTTGATTTAATTATTTTTTGAGCTTTATTTTGCCAGCTTATATTTTCCATTTTTATGAATTTTGTCACAAATTAGTCTGCCCACTCGCATGGGCGTACGCAGAGCATAATTTAGGGGGGAGGCTGAGATTTTTTTTTCATGTAAATTTTTTTAGAAATGTTAAAATATAACTATAAAAAGTTTATAATAATTTACCTCATTAATTTTTAATAATTTAGTTTGTCATATTTGAATTTAATTTTGGTAATTTTGAAGTGTTTATCTCTAAATAAGATCACATTTAGACTAAGACCCTGTTGCTATACAACGAGGTATTTAAAAATTTCTAGTCTCATAAAACCAGTTTGAAATTGGAATACATTTTAGCAGATCGCCAATTCCTGAAATTTTTTCCAAGCGTTTTATACTTATGTATATGGTCTGCTTCTCCTCTACATCCTTAAAACTTTTTCAGACGTCATTTTCGGGAACGTCTAATCTTGCCGCGTGGAGACAAATCAGATAGTTAGTGTCCTGCAGAAACTGTAGTAGTTGCTAAGATTAAGTAATAAAGTCTTACTGTATTGAGAACTAATGGATGACCAGAGTAGTTATGCGATCTGATACATTGATTCCTGTGGTTCGTCAGCTATACAGCGATTTCCAATTACATAAATAAGCATCTACTTAAAAGGAAGAAATTGTACTTGAAGCATTTTCTACTGTTTACTTTAATGCCCTAGTTTCGCCTGCTTACCTTTTCAAGCATAATTTAACACTTTCAATTTCCGAGTGAAATATTTTTTAAAAGGAGGAATACCTCTTACGTAAGTATTTACTCACGCGTCTACTGATTTCCTTCGTTGTTATTGATTTGCTTGCAATAAATCGAAATACTCAAGCGTAAAGTAAGCTGTCACCCTTCGATGCCTGCAATGGCAACATTACGCCATACTACCCTCACAACAATGGCAACAAAAAACAATGGCATGTATAAGTAAATAAGTGAGAAAAGAGCAATGCCGGTAAATAATATATACATATGTACATTAGAGTGGTCCAAAAAAATAAAGTCGGAGTTTTAATGCCGGCACACCCTAGGATTGATCTATATCGAAAAAAATATACCCCAATTTTTTTATTTTGAAATCAAAAAATATTTAGGGAGTGCTCAAAGCGCTCAAAGTTTTCCATGTATTTTATATGGAGAAAAAACAATTTTTCGTAGAAATGGTATAAAACTCTTGAAAATCAGTATTTTTCGATCGGAAAACTACGGTTCTCTTCAGGAGACTTCCAGTATTAATATTCAATTGTTTATTTTACCATTTTTTATGATTAAAGATTTTTTACTGGTCCCCCCATTG